CAGGAGCAAGCAGACAGAGGTGATCTAGAATCTCTTTGCCATTCTGTTGTGATCACTGGTGCAGCAGATTCAGTAGATATTGAGGAATATTTTAACCCTATTAGTATTTGGATGTTTAGCTACAGTGCTCTTAGATCTGTCTAAAAACACATTAAATGGATATTGGAGAGTCAAGAGACAAAAAGGAAAATGAAAAAGAGAGAGAAACAACAACAAAAAGAGGGAAAAAAAAGACAAAAAAAACCAAAAAAAATTGTAATTACTGTTTTTCTTTAAAAAAAAAAATCCCAAAATAGAAAACCGTGCCGTGCACAAGCATGCTGCTCAAAATACCTGGTTTGCTGGAGCCATGTGGAACCTTCTTCTGAAGGCCTGGCCTCTTCTGCCTGGGTGGGAGGACCAGAGTGATAATTAACAAGATAAAAGGTGGAGCTGAGAGCAAGAGAAACACTTTGCCTTTTAAAAAAATGTAAAAAGGAAAAATTACAAAAAAAAAAGGGAAGACAGAAGCAGGGAGAGACAGAAACAGATACAGAAACAGAGATAGAAGGTTGGGGTGGGGGCAGGGAGGAGCCTCCCTACTGCTAGCTCGTTTGCTGGAGGCTGAATTATCAGTTAATAAATCTTCATTCCCTGAAATACCTAGTTCACTGGAGCCATGTGGAACCTTCTTCTGAAGGCCTGGCCTCTTCTGCCGCTAGCTCGTTTGCTGGAGGCTGAATTATCAGTTAAAAAATCTTCATTCCCTGAAATACCTAGTTCTCTGGAGCCATGTGGAACCTTCTTCTGAAGGCCTGGCCTCTTCTGCCGCTAGCTCATTTGCTGGAGGCTGAATTATCAGTAGAAAATCTTCATTCCCTGAAATACCTCTAAATTCAGAGTATATTCTTGAAATGTCCCATCCTATGGGACAGCTTGTTACTGAGAGATTGCAAAGAGCTGAACTTAAATGTTTTGGTGCTTTCTTTCAAGGATTCCTTTTTGGTAACTGGTATAAAATAGAAATAAGTCCTTGACTGTGAAAATGTATTTGTCTTGGTAGTTACACATCTCTTTATTGTCTCCTTGTGATTATAGTGGTACATTATTCTATTTTAAAATGGATATTTTTATAACAAAGTAACTGATAAGGAGTACTGAGTTTTTTGCTGATCAATATAACATGCTCAAATTTATCGAATGCATAATATAAAAGTAATAATGGTCCAGTAAGTTTGTTTTGAAGAATGTAAAATGGACAATAGGCTATACATGTGGTACTCACAGACTTATTTCCACTTTCTTTTGTAACAGAATGATTCATATTAACAACCTTGTGAAATAGTTGCCTTGATTAAAAAATTATCTTGATTAAGTTAAAGATATCACTATTAGTATATACTCTTTTCTTGTTACAGAGGAAACCACTCAGGAAGTACCACCAGTGAAGAAAAGCTTGAGTGAAAAAGTTTCTCTCTATAGAGGAGACATCACATTGCTAGAGGTAGATGCTATAGTCAATGCGGGTGAGTAGTTGATTTTTTTCTGTGAAATAATTGTTATAGTAGTTATTATTTAAAAAGTATTTTTTCATAAACAGAAATATGAGTATTTCAGGAAAAAAATTTCTAGTATAGAAATGTCTTCTGTATTTGCCATTCTTGATTGAATAGTTTGAGAATTATTTTACATATATGCTTTGATTACTGTGCTGCTACAGTGCCCTCTAGAGTGAAAGGCACAAATTGCAGACTAAAGTACTGGACCACTAGAGGAGTGACAGATTGTTGCTGAAAGTTCCTTGGCAGGAAGAACAGCTATATTATTGTTCGTTAAGTTTCATGGTTGAGTCAATAATTGGCCAACATAAAGTTATCAAGCTTTATCCTTGTTTTTGAATAGGTTGTAAAACTATGACTGTACTATCTTAAAATAAAATACAGTTATTTCTGTGATTTCAAAACATCAGTAGATTACATAGCATTGCTCCATGCAGTAACATGTTGAAGGACCCCAATTTGTAGTGAACTCTGGCAGTCTTAAAAGTTCAGCTGCTATAGTGAATTACTGGGCATTCTCAATACTTGACTATGGAACACATGCACAGGGAAAAATAACATTGCACTTTATAAGCACTGTATCGTAAGCAGAAAATGCAATGTCTTAAATAAAACTATTTAAAATTAGCAACAAAAAAAATCAGTTGTTTGTTTTTATGTTTTCTATTTCATTATAAAATGCTTCATTCTAACAGGCATATTTTACTAATTGTCTAGTCAGCTTTTCTATTTGAACAGGAGTAATGTGATAACAGATATGATTTATGGTGGTCTGTAACACATATATTTTATTGGGTTGTCAGGAAAGTCATGACATATTTTTCTATGTTTTTCTGTGCAAAACTGTGTCATGACTTTCCCAAGAACACAATATTATGTGGCTATATATCAAGAAAGACAACAGTTTTAATAGTGGTACTTTTACTTAAAATGTCAATAAGAAGGTACTTAATGGTTTTATTCTGTGTCTTGTGAAGGTATATTCTTTCTGTGTTAAAAGTATCAAATAAAAAAAGTCTAGAGTTAAATAAAGAGAATATTTAAAAAAAACAAGTATTATAATAAGGGGAAGAGGTGGAAGAAGAATATGGCAATAGGGCAAACTGCGTTTATAGGGAGGAATAGATAGGCTAGAAATAACTGGATGCAGCGTAATTGGATTGGGAGCTGGCAACAGATTGTTGAGCAGGGAATGTTTTCCCCTGAGGTCAGCTGGTTCTTAGAAGAGTCCCTTAAGGAGGGTTGTTCACCTTCCGTTGGTGTAGTGTGGGGCAAAGTTCAGGTGTTGGAGGAAAGAGAGAAGCCTGACTAAATTTGGTCTAGTCCAGTTTGTGGACATTGACCACAAGAATGGCAAATGGGGACAGAAAGTTTAGTTAATCCTATATAAGACTGAGGCTGGGAATTTGGGAGGTCGGTGACTGACCTTGTTATAGATTACGGGGTGTGGTGTCATCTGTGAGTTTTATCTAAGTCACAGAGGGAAGAGTGGTTATTTGGTGTAAGCCATTTCCTGGGACAGAGACGGGAGGGTCTAATTTCTTGATTGTCACTGTTTTCTAGGAGTAAAGGGTTTAGATAAAATCCAATATTGTCTCAAAGTTTAATCTGGTGATGAGTAAATGCACAACAAGATACTAGAGAAATGCCTTGGTAGGTGAACAGATGGGTTTCATGCAGAAATGGACCGTCATTTAGAATATAACAATTCTGGCAACCTGGCAGGAAATTTGGGAGCATAATCAACTTGTCTTGCTAAGAAGTCGATATTCATTGCTTCGTAGTATAGCTGCTTTGCTCTATTCAGGGCTCAATTTTTCTCTTCCTCATCTTCTTATAACTCTCTAAAATGTAAAACTCTTCTTGACAGTTGAGTCTGGGTCATTTAATCTCCACCTAATATGGTACACTCCTTTTGGATAGAGTTTCCATCCTCAGGTCACCTCATATGCTACAGGACTTATATCTAGTCTCTAGGGATATTAACTTGTGGCCCTGGGTATCAGGATGCTTTCCGCTGACTTGCAGAGCCTCCAGAGAAGACAGACTGTTTTCAAGGGTCTCGTGAACTCCTGTTCAGTATAGGGTTTTAATCAGATATTACTATAATTAGTAAGTTATTAATGATTTATTATACTCCAAGTTCTATACACATACTAGCTTTAATTTTACAAAATTTATAAGATTTTACAGTTTTCTGCATAGCTGCCGAGGGAAGAAGGTGTGTGGCACTGTCAACCATGCTGGCTGGGAGTTGGTGGAGCCTGATTACCAGGCTTGAAGGGAACATGTTAAGTAGCAGCATAACATGCAAGACCCTCAGCTGTAGTATTTAAAAGTACTTCATTGCCTTGTGTAGCATGCATCATTTTTGAAGAACAAATGAAGAATTGATAAAGAAAACATGAACGGAAGTGAAGAATGAAATGTTTTATTTGACATCGATTACCTCACAATGAATTATGAAGAAAAGATAAAAAATAAATAAAGGTTTATATATGTATGTGTCTATATCTGTCTATCACCAGCCTTCCTATATATTCTTGTAATTTCTAGCCACGAATCTTAGTTCTGTCTTTTGGAGTACAACTGATAATGTCTGCTTTCCTTTTAAGTACTTAAAGATCACTTTTATAAGTTTTCTCTTTTGCATAATTAATATAACGTTGAATTTGCCACATCAACACACTGGGCAGTAATACTGGTCTTTCTTGGGTTTTGTTGACTGTATACCTGTTCATCCCTCCCTTGAAGCCGTGGAATGGTGCATTTTTCACCCTTTTTGTGTCACTTCCCAACACAATATTTTGTCCTTATATTCTTAAAAAAATTGGTAATGTTTATTTATTAAATTGAACTATAATGCAATTCAATTGCGGCACCTCTGACCAATAGTATATTCAGCACCAAGGACTTGACATAGTGAGCTAGTATTTCTCTGGTTTAAAAAAGTATTTATTTTGCCCCACCATGGTAATATAGAGGTAGTACAAAGCTCCTCATTGTGGGAAGTCATGTGGAAGACTGGGGCTCTGCTCCTGGGTTGACCTCTATATGCTGAGTGTGTGTATACACATGCCTGTGATCTTTGCTAGCTAAGAAGGTGGGGCGGGGGTATTGCAGTGTGAGAACATGTGGAAGATGCTTGTCTTTCTCTCTCTGTATTTCTCTCATAAAAGAAAGAAAGAAAATACATTTGAAATTATTAGATCAACCGGTAAAAATATTTTGAGTAATTTTGTTGTTGTTTTTACCATAGAGTGCATGTACTTGACAGAAAGAGACAGAGGGAAGGAAAATGAGATATTACCCAGGAGGGATGGCCACACTGTAATCCCTTCTCCTCCATTCTCTTGGGATTATTTTGGGCATACATGCACACACTACCTGGCATGATTTTCAAGCTGGCAGGTTTGGGACTCAGACCTCTGTCACCCATGTGGGAGTCTAGCGTCTTAACTACCATGCCACTTGCTGACTCCTTTTTGAATAATTTTTATTGAAATAAAATTAAATGGTGCTAAACAGGAAAATATCACTAACTAGTCTATCACTGTTTTCAGTCTTTCATATTTTATTTTGCCATTGCCTATATGTGTACTTTTTTCATGGCTGCCACATAGTGTACAAGAGTAGAATAAATTAGTATGAAGACAGGCAGCAACTTTTTGCTTACTCCCAAAAACCATTTGGCACCTTCAGCTCTCCTTGCTGGCTATGATGATTGTAATTTGGCCATGTTCTGCATCTCACAAGGACAACCTCATTAGGAAGTACCTGCGTAGATGGAAAAGAAATGCCAAATGTACAGTGAAATGGCTCTATTTGCAGCTTTCTGCTGTGCAGTTTGTCTACCTGGTGTGGAAGGAGAGGAACAGATGTTAATCTTTAAGGTGAACAAGGCAACATGGCAGGAAACTCCAGAGCTACTTTTAGTGAGAATGGGAGTGGGAAACTTTATTTTCAGTCAGGGTGCCAGAGCATTCCAGTCATCACTTTCTGTCATACTGCTAAAGATCTCTCCATGACAACAGTAATACATTAGAAGACCTGGTCTTAGTTGCTATGAATGAAATTATTTGATATCTTAAACTTCTCAGTGGGGCACTTTTTTTTTTTTCCCTTATCATTTTTGCTGTAGAGTGCATGTGCTTGCTGGAGAAAGGGGGGGGGGAGGAGGCGGAAGTGAGAACTCATCCCCAAGGGTGCATGCTGCAGTCCCTTCTCCTCTTGGGATTTTGAGCACACACACATACACACGTGCATATAGCATGTTTTTCAAGCCATAAGATCTTGAACTCGAATTGCTTAGTCAGCCATGTGATATTCAGCCAGGTGAACCTCTATGCCACCAACTGGCCTATGATGTGCTTTCTGAACTTAATTAAAAAGAAAAAATACAATCCAAGATGAAGCCAGAAGGTGGCATGATGTTGAAGGTGCTGGATTCCGACATGGCTTACCATGATTTGAGTCTCAGACCCGATGGCTTGAAAGTAACTCTGGGCACATGTGTGTGCATATCCAAAATCTAGACTGGGGAAGAGATTGCTGCATGGCCATCCCCCAGGGGTTGATTTCTCACTTTCCCTTTCTTTGTTTCTCTCTGTCAAGTGCACATGTCCTGTGGCAAAAACCTTAAAAAAATACAACCCAAGATGAGCCTTTTATATAGTATGTTCTCCTTTCTTTAAAATTATTTGATCTGTTTTAATAAAACAGATTTTGTAGGTATTATAGTACACAGCACAAGTTCAGAGTCAGGCAGACCTAAGGTTCAAAGTCAGGTTTTCATATTCAGGGCCTTTTTGTTTAAACTTTTTAGTTTGAAATAATTATAGGGAAAAAATGTTGCTAGTTAAATACCTTACATTACATATGCAATTTTTAATTTATTTTGACTAAACAACAGTGGCTCTAGAGTCTTCTACCAACTGAGAGAAAGTACAGAGAACAGAAGCAAGTGT